AATATACTCATACACAGGAAAAAAAACGGGAATTCAAATTCAACACTGTTACTGTGTATCTGTCTCTTGTCATGTATGATGGCCAGTTTTCAGCTTCTGAGACAAATTAAACATCCATTTTTAAACCAAAGCTTATTCTTAAAATTCACATTATATAATGACATTTATACAGGTAAGAAACCAACTCTACAATCCTGATGAGTAAGAAAAATAGTATACAACCATGTATTCAGGTTGCTGTGCTCTATTTTCATGTACTTCCTATCGTGATGTGATGGCTCATTCTGACAACTTGACCGGATCTGGAATTAACTGATCACAAGCTGCTGGGCATTCCTGTGAGGGGCTTTCTTGATCAGATTATTTGAAGGGGGATGATCCATCCTAAATGTGGGCTGCAATTTCTGGAGGGCGACAGCCCCAATAAAAGGACAAGGCAGAAGGAAGTTTTTGCTTTCTGCTTGATTGCCTGCACTCTGGTTGGAAAGTTTATCTACGATACTGCTGTGGCATTCCTTCACCAATATTACAACCAACTTCTTTAGGCTTCCAATGCAGACAGAAGATCAGCTGTTCTCCAGGAATCCTCCAGATTAGGGTTGTCCAGACATCCAGCCTGGTGAACTGAACAACTACCAGATTCTCAGCCTCTCCAGTGAGTGTGAGACAGCCATTGTTGGACTACCGAGACCATATCATGGAAGCCAACCCAACAAATCCCTTTTCAATATATATTTATTATATCAGCTCTGTTCCTTTAGAGCACCCTAATACACTTGATATCTACATCATTAAAAAATAAGACACTATTATTAGAGGAAGTTTATTTTTCCATATACTTTATTTATTTTTCCATATACTTTGATAGGTATCTATTATTTTATTTTTCCATATACTTTAATAGGTATCTATTAAAATATTTAAAAACATATTATAATCTGATGATAGCAAAGACTGCTTACTTGAAAATATTAACTTCTTACATATCAAAATACACCATCCTCAGCTATGTCATTAGACTACAAAATACTTGAAGTAAAATACAAAGTGTATTACCAGATCTGACAGCCTTTATAAAGATTGCTGGATGGCAAAAAGATGACACTTACAATCAAAATTTACTTTGATGATTTGAAAGCCAATCTATGAGGAATATTTTTCAGAAGATTGCTTCAAGTAAAAAATTAGAAATAATAAAACAAAAACATCTGACAGGGTTTTTTTTTCCTTAAAAAACAATCTTATCATAAAGTGAGACAACTTTTCTTTTAAAAAGGACTTGGTATCAATTTCTTCTGTTCAAACAGACAAAAATGACTCAAATATTTTAGAAATCCTTCCTCAAAAACTTCTAGAACAGTAGCTTTCAGATGCCCCTCCAATCCCAGTGTGGTTCGGGTGAGTAAACCCTGTGAGGATTTACCACTCACAGGGCCTTTCTGTGCATGACTGTCTTTACTCTTCTCCAGTGTTCAGATAGGCACTCCTCTGCAAATGTTCACCCACTCAAATGTTGATGCTTTAACAGTTAGAAAGAAAATCAATGGAATTATCACTCAATACCTTCTGGAGACTCTGGGGACCCCTTTGCCTTTACAGAAGTCTTCATAAAAACATGAAATATCTACCTTATCCTTAATTCCCTAGTACTTATACTATATAGAGTCATGATTTAAAGATAAAATTTTCCTATGCAGTTCATTTAACAAGAATTTGTTAAAGCTGAAAATAAGTTCAAAAAATTTGAGGCAAGCTAAATATTAGCCATACTCATAGAACAACTTAGTAATTAATAGTACAGGTTGAATATCCCTAATCTGAACCTCAAAAATGCTCCCAAATCCCAATGCTTTTGAGTGACATGACACAAGTAGATAATTCCAGACCTGGCCTCATGTGATAGGCCAGTCAAATCTCAAGCATGCTAAAAACATTGCACAAAATTTCTTTCAGATTATGTGTATAAGGCATGTGAACAAAGGAATTTTATGGTTAGATTTGGGTTCTGTCCAAAGGCTATCTTGTTATGTATATGCAAATATTTCAAAAAATTTTAAATTCAAAATCCACTGCTAGTCCCAAGCATTTATTTAAAAGGATACTTAACTTGTAACACATGCTTTATACAGGTCCTGTATTCAAGTTTCCTTAAAACTAAGTCAGTATAGAGAATACCGTTTCAAACTGTGATTATATTTAAGCATTAATATAGGTTATACTTTTTAAAGTATATTAATTTAGCACAGCCCAAAGGTGATAGCTGAGGAAAAGTCTTTTAGTACCTGGTATAAATGATGCAAGACTATAAAACCATGAAATAAATACACTTCCAATAAAACAAAACAACTCAAGCAGGATCACCTACACCTCTAGTTTAGGTCATAAACTAAGCCAATATTTTTAAATCTTTTTTAAACAAACAAACAAACAAACAAACAAACAAACAAACAAACAGGGTACCCCTGGCTGACCTGCATTCAGAGATCTGCCTACCTCTGCCTTCCAAGTGCTATAATTAAAGAGGTGTACCATCACACCTAGTCCAAGATTTTGTAATTTTAAACTTTGTACTAAGTCAACCTAGCCTTTTCAGAAAATGGATCTGGTTTTGTGAAGCAAAATAATATAACTCTTTTCCTCTCCAGTTGTACAAAAAAAGTTGCTGCCACAAAATGAAAATTTATATTGTGATTATGAGCCATCCACAAACCTATCTGAACCTTTGATGATACCAAGCAAGGAAGCAGTTCACTCAGTCTATCCAAAGGTTAGTTACTATGCTAGGTAAGAAAAGAATAAATAAGACCCACTTGTACAGACACTGACTTCAAATCTACAACACAGTGCAAGGACACATATAAACATAGGATCTATTAAATGTTAAAATGTCATCACACTGACACTTCAAGAAAAACTCGGTTGTGTCCTTCAAAAACAACACACAACCAGTCTACACTTAAAAAGTTTGTCAACATCTTAAAAACAAGTATACATTGCTTGAAAACAAAGAGCTAAAGCTGAGCACAATGGCAAACCCCCGTAACCTAGCAACTCAGAGAGGCTGAGGCAGGGGGACAGTTTGAAGTCAGCATGGGCAACACAGCAAGGACCAATCTCAAAAAAAAAAAAAAAACCCAAAACCAAACAAAACCCTTTCCTTCCTTCCTATAAGTGATACTGTTTACATGCAATTTGAATAAAATTTCACTCCACTTTTTTAAAAGTAAATCAATCACAAAACATAAACATTATACGAGTAGCAAACTGTGACTCTTTACAGACTATGGGATGTATCAATTAACAATCACTGTTCTAGAATTTTATCAAGGTTAGCAAATGACACCTTTCCCTATTCTGGATTGGGAAAGCAGCTTAGTGGTAAAGCATTTGCCCTGCATGTGTGAGGCCCTGGGCTCAATATTCAGGATTGCATGAAAACCCACCAACAAACCCATTTCTTAGGATGTGAGAAACATAAAATTGCTATTTAGGAAACTAATTCTATTCATATAAATGACATCTCTGACATGTCTTATTCTTAGCCTGAAGCTTTTACTGATGTCTCCTTTCTACATAAAATATATACTAAACAAGACTAATTTGACTGCAAATCCTCAGCCAATGGGTGGTGTGGAGGATCAAGTTCTAAATGAAATATGAAAAGCTAGAAGGCTGGGGTGCACAGAAGAAAGTCTTAAGATACCAGGGTAACTATATCCCAGAGGAAATAAAATTCTAAAATAAAACTGCAGGCTTTTGTTTAGGACAAAGTTGTTAACAGTCAAGGCCACTATGTCAGAGTCCCCTAAACTAAGTAGGATACAAATCTTGAGAACTGCCTAGCAGACTGGGTTTACAGGCTTTTTTGTGTGTCAGTCTGAATTTTCTGTTGTATTTGTTTTTAAACCTCTAAAAATGTAAAAACTATTCTCAGCACACTGGCTACACAAAAGCAAGCAAACAAAAAACAGCCATATGTCAAATCGGGGTACAGTAGAGAGCAATTCCCAACTACGAACCCTTAAACATAACCCCTCTCATGCAATGTTAAGTCACACATGGTCAGGAATTGGAGGTTGGAAGGACTGTAAGCAATTTAATCTAACTTTCCAAAGGACAAGCTGGTGGCTCAGGGAAACTGACTTGCTTCCACCAGATAAGCCAAACACAGTGTGTTCTCCTTCCCCTTCCATGTCTAGAGTGCTTCCCCCAGTCTGAGGACTCTAAAAAAGTCTACTGATGCCTAAAAATCTGTTTCAGCAGCTACTTTTCCCACATTCTTTTGTGAGTAGAAAGTTCACACTAAACGCCAGGCACACCATGCTCACACTTAGAATGCCAGCACTGGGGGGCTGCAGGGGGAACGCAAGGACTCTGAGGCTGGTCTGGGCTATGCTGCCTTGTCTCAGACTCACCCCAATCAAAAAAAGGCAATTCATGCCAAAATAAGAATCGTGAAAAACTTATATTTATATGCCTCACCACACACCTATCTGCCCATGCTTGCAAGGGTATATTTATTGTTGACAGTGATTTCATGATTTCACAGACAAACACTGAAACGTGTTTAAATTTCTAGGTAAAATTCTGGCTTTCTCATAATAAGAACCCTTTTTGTAGCCTTACAAAATAATTTGGTGGCACAAAGGCAGAAAGTAAACTGAGAAGTCCAGAGACAAGGTAAAAGTCACAACTACATCACAGTGAGAATACACAGGCAGTCTTTTCCAGGTTTAAATTGCTACTGGGATGGAGTGAGGCTCAAGGAGGCCTGTGAGTGGTAGCAGGTTGCTGGGTAGCAGGGACCAGTGAAGGACACTGGAGACTGTGGAACAGAATACACTCAGCCTGTGCTCTTCTCCCAAGTCCCACAAAAATCCTAGGCTACTCCACAGCAGCCTAGATGAGAAGCCAGGCCTGCCTTTCTGTTGTTTTTCTCTGCTACTGCAAACTGCCCCTTATGCCTCTTCTGG